TGTAAGTTCAACCTTTGCATGAAATTGTATTTTGCTTGGCAATATTTTTAACTTTTGATTAATCTTCATATTTAATATTAGGTTGATGCAGAAGTTTCTGGAACTTATTTTGGTAAAATGTTTTATTTTTATAAGATCATTGTGTCATTATTCATAGTCATGCAACAAAATTACCAGTTGCCCAGTAAATATAGGTCTCTTCTCTTCTAATGAATCATTAAGCAATTGCTCAGTGTAGCCTTGAACATAACAGTAATAGTTTGTCGAATTTCCAGTAATTTATAAAAAGAATTTTGTTTGAATTTCACCAAGTACAGAGATGGATTTTTCACCTTTTAGATTCGATTTAGATTACAATATTGAAGACAGTCCTGGTGTTGATTTTCTTTGTTTTGGATTCTCATAAAAAGATCCCAAAATGACATTTTTTTTTTTTTTTTTGGTCATGCAAGATGAGAACAATAAATTTCTAAATGCCTACCTATGTTCCATTCTCTAAGTACATAGTGGACCCATTTTATTAGCTCCTGAATTTTTAAAAAAAGTTTTTAAATGGTATATTGATTGTACAAACAATAAAAAACTGAGTAAACTTCAAACACACACTTTTACAGTTCTCTCAAATGTTGGTGCTGATAACTTTTGCATTAACCTTTATATTTTTGTTTATAATAATATTGATTAAATAGAAGAAAAAGTGGTAACATTTAAATTTCATGGATACATAACGTGTTTATTGTATAGAAGGAAAATTGGCTTGTCATTGTCATAAATATGACTAGAATATATCACAGAAATGTTCAATTTTGTTGGCTACTTTTTTGAACTCACTGCATTTGCTTACTGCAATGTTTTATTTATTTTTTAATGTTAAAAATATTGTTTAATCTATAAGATGTGAAGATCAACCACAATGTCTTTAGATTGTAATAGTTTTAACCCTTGTTTTTTAATAATGCTCACTTACTAGACCTGTTAGCTTTAAGGAAAAGTTTTTCTTAGGTTTTGCTTTCATTCATTTTTCAGTCAGTCATAATGTGAAGAGATGACAGTAGAATTGATGACTTGGATTTGCTGGATGTTATAATCTTTACAATCTTTATACAGTATAGAAACAGCATTGTTTGAAAAGGAAAAAAGCACAAATGCTATCAGTAATACTTTAGTTTTAGCTTTTATCATGTTAACTTTGAATTGTTTTCATTAAGCAATAATACAAATTTTGTATTATTTTAATTATATTTGCTTAAGTGCTTCTGAAGGTGGCTTTTAGGATCATTATCAATGCACTTGATATTTATAGAATTTAGATTATCATAACTAATTTGGTACCTATTTCTTTGCTGATGGTAAGATGATCAAATTTAAAATATAATTGTGTGTGTTCATTGAAAATACTATATTAGATAAATATATTCAGTTTTAAATACAAAAGCAAGTCAACAAAATGACTTCAAAGGGATGCACAGTTCAGTTTATACTCTTTTCCGGTTACTTAGGATTTTTACCAGATGGAAATTAGTCATCATGGCACAAATGTCGATTTCGATTTGATTTAAATCAGATCTACTGTATATCTTTTATGCCAAAATGCTACAAGTGATGCACTGTATAATGAATTAGGTTTTTTTTTTTTTTTTTTTGAAAAAATTATTTGAGGATTTAATAGCTTACTGTATTAGCAAATCCAAGTCATCAATTCTACTGTCATTTTTCTTTGTCACAACAAATTATCACATTTTGAAGCTATTATTAAATATTTGTGGTTTAGCACAATATTATACCTATTCACATCAGAAACAAATTGTAATTGCTGCCATTAGGTATCTGAGCACAAATCCAAATCCCAACTGATGTTTTAGAACTATGCTTAAGAGCACAGTGTGTTGTGTTTGCATCATCACTATCATAGTTCGCTTTTACGGTATGAATATATTATCAACTATTACAGTAATTAACATTACCTAAATTAGTAAAACGGAATACAATAAATGAAGTACATATGAGATGTAACTATCAGCTAGTATTATGTGGCTGTGGCTCATGCAGATATTGTATGGTATGCCTAGATGAATGAAAGACATCTAGTACTGGTAGGAAGTACTTTATCATCAATTAAAAAAAACAAAACAAACTATATATGGTATGATACGAAAGGGATATACGGTATTTATTACATATAAATGATAATTGTAGGCTTATATTCTATGTTAAGTTTTTGATTGCTTGTGTTTTGTGACTGGTGTTTGTGAGGGTTGGCAAACTCTTCTCTACAACTTGACCTTTCAGTGTTAAGATGCAGGGTGATTTTTGAGAGCATTTTTAAGTAAAATAAATGCATCTTAACATCTGGGAAATACAGTACTTTTGTATCTGTGTACATGAATATTATTTTAATTTAATGAAAAATCTAAAAATGTTTTTAAAAAAATAAAAAAGTAACTCTATAAGCAGACAATTTCTGAAAAGTTTAATAAAATCTTATCTGTTTTTGTCTTCAACTTCAATGTTGCCCAGACTAAGTGGGAGGAAGAATGTTTTATTCCAAACTTACTAAAACTTTGTATATATTGTGCGCTTGCACATATATTAAATGGCACAAGCACGTGCAAAGTCACACACAGACAATGTGTGATGGACAGAGAATCAGCTGTTCTTCTATAATATAGATTATTTGCAACTAGATAAAGGAGGGGAGACTACTCTGTAAACTGCAACTCCATGTAAAATTTAAAGTTCTCTTTATTTCTATTAATTTTGTATTAACAAGAGTTCATGTGAAATAACTTCTTGAACATACATGCCTATAATTTAGAAGAATAGTTTTTGTAATATTTTGGAACTATTTATGATGGAAGAGGAAAGGAATAACACTAAGTTTTTTCAGAAAATAGTGATAATCATGATACATCTATTTTTGTAAAAACATTTTTTATCTATAAAATCTAATAAAATATATAATTATATAATAAAGGCATTATTATTTCATGCAATAATCAGTAATATTTTCATTTTTCTTTCTCTTTCAATGTGGATATGATGAATTAGATCATTTTTATTTGGGTGAGCACAAACGGACAGCCACCTCCCCTTCCTCCAATTAGTCTTCATTAATAAATATATATGTGGATTGATAAAGGTGAATAATAATAATAATAATACTAAACTTTAAGAGAATAGAATTATTACAAGATATAAGAAGCAAAAAAAAAAGCAATGTTTCACTCAATTACTTCTATGGTCTTCAGGTGTACTGTTTTCATGGAAAGAGTTTTGTCTTTTTTTAAAGTTGCAAATTAGATTGGAAACTGCTTTATTTTTCAAGTTAGTATTTTCCTAACAAATATCTCACTACAGTGTGCTGTTTTTGCTATTTTGCAGTAACAAACACATTTACAAACTGAAATTCAATCATTCTAATAAAAGTTTTCATTTTTCATGAAGGGCATACCTTTTGACAAATCACTCACTCAAACCATGAAAAAAATTATTTTTATTCTAATTCATTCTTGATATTACTATATTTTCTTTGTTTTTATGACAAAATGATGATGATCTTAAGAATAACCATGTAGCTACAGTCAACCTGTATATTTATGAGTTACTACTGAATGTATTGCAACATGAGAATGGTTTTCAGTAACATCAGTACTTACAGCAAAAGAGTTTAAGAAAAGATCACATTGAGCTAGAAAAATCTTCAGACCAAATATGGAGGGAGAGAATGGCACACATTACCTTCTTTAGAGAGTGAAAAAATTGAAATATGCAATACAAGAAGCAAGTCGGACCAGTGTGGATTTTGTTAGTGTTTCTTCTCTTTTTCTTGTTCTACAATGAAGGATTTTTGGAAACACTGTATAAATTAGAATCCGCTGACTTCTCTAAGTCATATTGAATGGTATCATTTGTGTGTCTCCAACAAATGGAATGAACTGATCCTATTTGTATATTACTTTTCATAACTATTTTCTGTCTTGTTAAGAAAGAGAACTTTCTTTTTTGTTACAGATTAAGGTTGTAGAAATGGATTGTTTGAAATGTAATGCCATAAACAATACAAATTAGTTTCTCTTAAAGTTTGAAGCATTAATGATTAAAGAATGATGTTAAATTTGTCATGGAAAGTGAATGAACACCGCAACGATTACTAATGAAGTGCCATTTTGGTTTTCTAGTATTTTCTCATTTTCTTTTTGTAAACACTTTTTTTGCCTTTACAGAAAAGAATGCAGTAGACTTCTGTATTTATCTTAAAACTAACAACTGCTTTATTTCATTTAACTTGCTTACAAAATGTGAAATTACATTTGACTTATTCAGAATTGTAGTCTTGCTATAAAATTGAAGAAATGTAGTTTGCTTATTGTATAATCTGAATGCATTTTTTTGTTTGAGAGCATTTTAATTGTTTTATACTGAAAATAAATTATTCACCTTTTGTTGTTTTTTTTTTACATCTGAACATAATTGTTATATATAAGTAAACACAATTTCATAAAATATCTTTTAATTGAAGCTATAAACTTAGTTTTAAACAATATATGAGGGAATGTTGAAAGAATTTTCCTTTCTAATATTAAACAATTTCTTAAATCTCTTTTTGGTCAGATTGAAAACTTTTAAGCTACCTCTTCATACACTGTTTTTGTTTTAAACCTCCAAGCCAGAAGTATTGATTGAATTTTGTTGGGTCTTATAAAATTTATTTTTATCGTCTTTGTGTACTTTTAAAAAAATATCACCTCAATTACGTATTTGAATATTTCTGATAAATACAAATCTGAAATATTTAAATGTAAAAGAGAACATCTATGAACTTTTTTTTTTTTTTTAAATTGATTACATGAAACTCATTGTAAGTTGTATTTATATATATATATATATATATATATATATATATATATATATAAATGAATGTGTTTTATCTTAGGCGGTATATGTTTTAAATTAAAAAAAAAGAACAAACTGAACTAATTGTTTTTAATATTTCTTTCTAGCACACAAAGAATGGCTTGAACGTATCAAGATACAAGGTAACAAGCCTGAAGACTGGGCTGAGTTTATTGAACATATTAAGGCACAAATCAGTGTTCCTTATGAATCTTTCTGGAATCGATATATTTGTGACCTTTATGTAATGGCATTTAAGGTAATAACAAAAGTTTTATGAATTTCTATTTTTTTTCTTTTCTTTTTTTTTTAAATTTTAAAAAAGTTTTATGCCTTATGAACCATTCTGGGTAGTGGTCTGTTATATTGATTGACTAGAGTGTTTGTATCAGTGCAGCAATTTATTTGCACATGTGTTAATTGTTAGGTTTTGTTATAAAGTAGGTTTATTTTTAGTAACAATATGAGCCTTGACTTGATGTGTCAGTAGACTTGATGTACGATAATATTATCCCTGTGTTTATTTCTGAATAAAAATGAAATTTGAATTTTTCATATTTGATATTTCATTAATAATTATGTACTGATCTTTACACTAGATTTTAAGGAACTGAATTCTGTTTGTTCTTCAAGTCATTACATATGTAAAAAGTAAGGTAAAAAGAATTACTAATTATCAAGTCTATTCTTAATTTCTGATTGAGACAAATTACTTGAAAAAGTTTTAAAATATATATAAATAAAAACTTCTTGGTTCAAGTTTAAGGCAGTTCAAACTTTGGACCTTGACTATTAAAACACATTTTTTTCTTTGTATTTTTAATTTATTGTTCATCTCATTTCAAATTTAAATCATAATTATCTTTAAAAAATAATTGTAAAATCATTTCTGTTTTTAAAGCAGATGTTATATATACTTGCAATTTGTCCAAACAATAGAAGTGTGCATTGTTTGTAAGGTTTTCTTTTAATTAGAACACATGCACGCACGCACACACACACATGCACACACACACACACACACACACACACACTGTTTAGTTTCACGTGGTTTCTATAATTTTACATATTAATAAAATATTAAAATCTTGGTTTATATTTAGATTTTTCTTTCGTTTTCAGACCATTCAAGGTAAATGCAATGTGATGTTTGTTAAACTGTTCATTGATTATGCCAATCTGAAAAGGTAAGCTGTGTAGTTTCTTTTTATTAACCAACCGACTTAATGTGTTTTTTATCCATTTAAAACTTCTGATTTAAATATATTAAGAAAATGTTTGAATATTTTTGTATAGTAATTGTATGAAGGGGATGTTGAAAAGTTTCCACTCACCAAAATTTAATCACATGTCAGAATTATTTTTATTTTTTTCAAGATCTGCTTTTCAACACTTATTTGTAGAAAAAAGGTTTTCTAATGTAGTAGAAATTTGAAAACTACTATTTATTTTATTTATCATTAGAAATTCCGAGTATTTTTCTTTTGGGTGAATCTATTTTTACTTAAGATTATGATGAAAATAACAAATGCTGTGTTAACATGATTTCCAGTGATATAATCACAGTATAATTTTGTGTAGCATAACTCATAAGGAAGTAAAATGTAAGTGATCTCATAAGGGGAAATTACTCTAAGTAATAATTACTTCCCTTGGTATATTGGCGATTTTATAAATTTTGATTTTGAAAAACGTCATCTGACGTGATTTGAATTTATTTAAAGTACTCGGTTATTAGTTTGGGACATTTTCGGGAAATTTTTTTTTTTTTTAAAAGTCTGGAGTTCCGAAGGAAGCGACAGAAAACAATTTTGGTGGTGAAGGTAATGGCTTCTCCGATTGTTAACTGTTAAAAGTTGATAATTTTATTTAAAACTTTTTAAATGCCACCAATTGCATATAAAGATTTTACCATCAGGAAATTTAATGTTAGAGGATTCATAAAAAAAGAGTAAAGCCGGAATTATTGGTTCAGAACCTTGATAATTATAACATTGACATATGTTATTGCCAATAAACCAAAATCAAAGAATGACTTGATATTAAAATCAGAATTAGCAGAAGTTAATAGCTTTGGTAACATTATAAATATTATGGAAATGGTTTTGTCATCAGTATCATATAGAAGAATAACATCCATAGGCATGAACAACCATAGTATTAAACAATGGCATTACAAGAACTATCGATAAATGTTCATCATTTTTCATGAAAACTTTGAAAACCCTAGCAGGTTTGGAGAGGAGTGATAAGAGATATTTACAAAGTTTGTGAAGATGAGAAATCACACTTTTTTTTACAGTGTACCTTCAAGTTGAAACAACTCTCGTAATGATGATGATTGAGTTATAGTAATTTGGAGATTTATCCACTTTCACTGAGCTACCTCCATGGATTCACAGTCTTCATGAGAATATTAGATGGAAATATTCCATGAAGAAATTCATTTCAATGGTGCTTAAATGTTACTGGCTTTGTAGTATCATTTGATCAGTTGGATAGATTATATCATAATGGAAATGGTCTTTAGCACACCAGTCTTCAGATTCTGAAAATGCTTTGATATAAATTGAGAGAAGTTGTTCAAGATGTAAGACTTAAAGGATTTTAAAAGCATCCTTAGTGTCAGCTTCAGTCCTTTTGATCTGGACACTTTTATCTCAGGATCTGATTTGATTATTGATTGATTTTTTTTTTATGGCTTATCACCCCTTTGCAGGTTATTTAAAGCCAAAAAATATTTTTAGATTGTAAAATTTTTATTTATTTTTTTTTGAGATAATAATGATTTAATGATACAAATCTTACTAATGAACCCATAGTTGGGGGAGCTGAGGTGGATTCATACCTTTCTCAAGAATATTTGCGTGTAACAGTTCTATTACACCCCACTCGCACATCCAAGCTTACAGTGCCCGTTATTCCCAAGTGGTCACACATCTAAGTACTGGTCAGGCTTGATGTTGCTTAACTTCAGCGATGGGGACCAGTGTTTCTATGTGATGTGGGTGTAACACTTTTCAGGATCTACTTTTTTCCTAAAGGTTAAGGATTTCATTTAACGTCTTCTTTTTACAAAAATTATAATGTGAGTTTTTTGTTGCTTGTAGATGAATATGAGACACTTTAATTTCTTCAATACGTAATTTTAGAACTAACTAAAAGTGGGAAAATATTGTTTTATTAGTTTAATAAGGCATATTTTTAATAATTTAAAAATTATTAATTTTGTTAAAAACTTTATATATAAATTAGAATAAAATTTTATCTGATTTGGTATTCATTTAAAAAAAATTAATATTTTTTCAAAAATTCTTTTTGGCAGAACTTCCATAATGTATTCATTTTTAATGTAAGTAGTAAAGGTTTTAATAAAAATGATAAAACTTAAAATATTGAAGTTTTAAAAATAATTAAATACAAAAACAAATTAGTTACATTTTACTTTTTGAATAATTTTAGATAGAAAATTTTTTATTCATGCTCAGAGGAACTCTTATCATACTTTAAGAATCTTACTCTATGCATTCATTTCTATATAAAAAAATATTGGCACATTCAAACTTTTCATAATTAAAAAAAAGTTTTTAACAAAAGATTTTTGCAAGTACTTGCTTTGCATCATGTCTCTAAATTTTCAATCAATTATTATCCCATAATTTAGAAAAAATATATAATTTTATAGTTTATTAAAGGAAAATTAGTTTTTAGAAATAGTTTAGGTAATAATTTTACATTTAAAGATAATACAAATATCTAAATTTAAGCCCTTCAAATTACATTTGGGTTTCAATCACTAGGTTTAAAAGAAATGTTTAAGTTTTGTCTTTGTGTAGCTGTCTGTGCTCTATTAAAAGCTCTATTCATGAGAAGTAAGGATTTTTTTTTTTTTTTTTTTTTTTAAATTATTTTCTTTTAGAATAGATATAGAATTTTAATTAAACTTTTTGTCTTGTCCCAGCATCATCTCCCAAAACCTAACCAGTTTTCCCAAACTTATGTTCTGTTGTCTCTGGGATTGACAGGATAATTTTGAACCTTGATTTCTTTCTTAAGCAACTAATTTTATACTGTTTTTGAGATGCAAGACAAGATAGGCAACCTGGAGAAATAAATTTGCATATATATAAATACTATTCAATTAAAATATTATTTAATTAAAACTTATAGTAACGTTTTTTTTAGTGGTTGGGGGTGGGTGTGACCCTTTGATGACTTACTCTAAATTTTTTTTTTTTATAAGTAGTAGGATTATATAAGAACTTGTCACAAGAAATCAGTCTAGGGACTAACATTTGTTTTTAAATCATTAAATGTAAATTATATCACTTTTCTTTTAAGATATGTTCACTTGCCTTAACATAGTTTTGATTGTTAGATTCTACTTACCTTTCCAGTTAACGCATTTAGAGAAATTTGAAAAGAAAAGTCAGTGCTTGAAAAATTCTGATAAATTCAGCTTTTTTATTTCTAGATCTTCAGTATAGACCTGACTGATTCATGTGATATTGAAAATTTGTGTGATATCACAGATTTATGTTCAAAGTCTGTAAGAAACCTGGATGAATTGGACGCTAATGATAATTTATGTCACTTTTTATTTTATTTTTGCAATGGGTATTCAAACACCCATAAAAATTGAAATAAAAATAAAGAATTGTTAAAACTTAGGGAATGATTTCCCTAAATACTATGTAATGTTTTCCCAATCATGGACTTCATCACCTTTTGCAGTATGAGTCAATATTAGAAGATCATAATTGCAAAATTACAATGAATCAGAATTTTTGAGAAAAAAAAACTATTAAGAGGTCTAGAATTAGTAACTTTGAGAGACAGTTAATGAAACTTTTAAGGGCTGAAGATGATATTTCCCAATTTTTCTATGTGGTCGTCTGCTTAAAAATTTTCATTTTTTTTCACCAGAAAACTGCTAATATCTGCTTTTTGGTTACTCTCTGTCAAATTCTAGACAAATATTTGGATTTCTTGTCTAAAAATCCATAAGGGTATCAAATTTAATTAATTTCTGGCCAGTGGATCAGAAGATATAAGGGTTTTTGTGAGATTGTTGAGTTCGAAAATGGAAATGAAAATGGAAATGTCCGTCAATGGAAAATGCTGATTCAGCAAAATTTCAACTTGCGATATCTTGAGAACGGTTAGGAAATTTTGCCTAAAATTTTCAGGATTTTCCAATGACTATAAGATCTACAACATCTAATGAAAAACATATATATTTTTGGGTTGCATTGTTTGGTTAAAGGTTGAATGTTCCTTTTTGACAATTTAAAAATTGTATAATTTCACAAAATTTTTCAAAATTAGATACCTGTATGAGAAAAGGTATTCATATTAGAGAGAAAAGAACTATTTATTAAATTCCTCTCCAAAATTAATACAGTTTCATGTTTCAGTAATGTATGTCCAATGGATACTTTTTTTGTTCAAGATGGTATACTTTTGACCTGTTTTTGTCCTACTGTCACTTACATGGTATAAAGATGATTTATTTTTTTTTATTTATGTACTACTGAATAAAAATAGCTTAATCTCTATTGCACTATCATAGCAAGAAGTTGTAAAGCATTAACTGTTGAAATGAAACTTATATGAACAGTCAGAATTGTCCTTCTGTGTCATTGTCTTTTTAGCACAATCCACATTCTCCTTATCTTTTTCAACATGATCCATATCTCTTTATATACTGCAAATGTAATAATACTGACAACTTTATAAACTGAAGATATTTTTTTACTCCTATGATTAGAATATTCTCTTTATTTTCTAATCTCAAAGATTTTTCATATTTTAAATTTACAATATGAGCCTTGTTAAAAAACTTATTCCTTTTTATTTTATGTTTGATGTAATTTTTAATTGAATAATAAATGTTAATATATTTACATTTATGTAAATCTTATTTCTTCCAAGCAACCAATCACAAATTGTCATGAATCTCAAACCAAATTTTCCATCTTTTTGAAGCTGACCATAAAATTATGACTTCTTTCTTTTTCTTTTTGATCATTAAATTATTATCTTGTAATCTACACCTTATCAGTTAATATCTTTGACACCTTTGCTTGAGCAACATCATATTCATTTTTCTTTTACTCTTTTTTAATATTTCATTTTATACAATGTTTACATTATTTATAGTCAGATTAATGTCCTCATCTTTGTTGTTAACACAACATTTCAGCTGTTGTGTTCTCTGGTCTTCTTCACAGCTGTCAGATTTCTCTGGTTAACCTCCAGGGAATTTTGAACTGAACCCTTTATTCAATTTATGGGGAGAGAGTGTTCTCTTTCAGCTGTCGATGTCTAGGGAAACCTTATCTTGATTAATTGTTTGGTTATTGCTAGTTCGGTTTCTACTTAGTCTACCTGGTTCAGGGATTGAATTCACAATTACTTTATCAGATAGACACAATATTTGTGTTTTTTACCCCTTTGTAAATTTATAGTAAATACCTTAATGACCTGTAATTAAACCTCAGGTAGTTGGGTGGCGTGAGTTTTACACTTTTTTTTTTTCCAGTATTAGTTCATAAGGAATATTAGAATTCAGCATAGATGTCACCCTACATCCTCCCTGGCCATTCAAGATGTCCAGTACTGCAGCTGATTGATGAGGTGATTGCTTCGATTTAGGTCCTGCCTTATCCAACGTTGTGATTTGCTTTAATCATAAGGCAACCAAGATCAAATTGTCGTTAGGTATCCTTGTATTGAGCTGGCCCAAGCAGGGCGAAGATGCAAAGAAACAAAATAACACTCAAATAAATTAAAAGAAATAAATACTATTTTTATATCAAGCCTTTCGTACAATAATTGGTTAATTATTTTTAAGTCTAGGAGTTCGCATGTAAACAATTATTGGCCCAACCCACTTCTAAGTTGGATGTGACACTTTGTTTACTTGATAAAGTTTGTTTTGCTGATTTGGTAAAGTTTGGCACAAGGCTGATGTCGGAGGTTCTTGTTGGCAGATAGTCACTTGGAGTGTCTCATTGGGGATGATTTTGTTCTCACCTCGGGGCATTTGTATTTATTGATGTCTGCCTAAACCGGCGTGGGGCATGACGCAGTTGGGGAATTCGGTATTTCCTCCACCTGTCATCTTCATCGTTTGGGTCCTGAGAATTACTTCATAATTTTGGGGAATTCCCCTCTTCCATGGGTAATGGTTACAGGCATTACTCTGCCCCATAACTTCCACTTTCTCTTATTACCATCTCCCACTAATACTCCTCAGTGGGTGTGGGTAGCTCCTCCACCTTCCTTGTTGTCTCATCTGCACCTGCTACCTCGGCCACCCTCCGACCAGTGAAGATTAATTCCAAGTTTTGTTTTTATGCAGAAAAAGTTTTCCACATTAACCCCATGTGTTCTATTGTTCAAAACCAATACACAATCTAGATGGCTGTCTACACCTTTTGGGGTTACATCAGGGGTCACTCTCCAAGAGAATTCTTATCTCCGCATTATGGTTTTAAGTCCTATTTGATTCTCTCTTCATTATTTTCAGAGCCCGTATTTTTGGCTGTGTGTCATCAAACAAGTGTCAAACATTTTGTCATACGACTTGTCGTTAATTGAATATTGTTTTCTCTGTTAGTCATCAGTCCCTTTTGAGAATTAAAATTTTCAGTTTTTTCCTCGGGGGATTATTGGTATGTCATTCAGGCTATTTATTAACCCTTGTTTACCAGTAACAAATAGTGTCACTCAGAAATAAACACACAGAAATTTTCTTTTTGTTATTTGTATAACACAAAGTAATTTGAATATTTTTTAATATTTGAAAAATTTATTTTCATGGAAACTTCTAATCAAAACTCATCCTATTTCCTCCTCAAATCCCTCCCCCACCTAACTTGTTAGATTCTGAAAAATTCCCACTTAAATAAGCTTATTCTAACCTATCCTTTTCTTTCAAGTAGATTTTTTCAGGAAAAAGAATTAATATTAAGTAGTTAGGTTCCTCTTTTAAATTTGTCTATATTTTCTATTGTCTAGGTAATTTGAGGACGCGTTTGACTTGATAAAATTATGTACTAGCTTTTAAAAATGATTTCAGAAACTTTTTCTACCTGGATAATGGGTACCTTAGTATAAAAATTAATTTTAAGGTGCCATAGGCAAGTTCATAAACTTGTCAGCCTCCCTCTGGCATATATGACTATTATATATAGGAGTCAATATGCCATAAAAAGTACATTTATGAATCAAAACTGCTGATTTGATCTTTTGAAATTCTTTCTTATCTCTTGTGTAATTCTTAACTCATTTGAGTTCTGAAGTCCTTTTAGAACTTTAGGATCTCTCTCTACCAATTCCATCTCTTTGTCTCTGTGTTCACACTGATCTCCTGATTAATGATGTTCAGAAATGTGAGTGCCAGTTGGCCATTCGTTTTTGGTGGTGGTGGCGGCGGCGGCAGCAGCTATTACTTTCCTCATCCTTTGTTTCTGCTGCTCTGATCATCTGTTCATGTTCATATTAAGATGACACTTTGCTTTTTCCACTTCAGTGAAGATAATGCAGATGATGGACGGATGCTGTTCAGCCAGGCACGATCAATTGCCAGAAAGTTCTCCATTGCCCACATTGCTGCTGCAGAATTTGAGCTCAAACAAGGTAAATTAAATTTCTGCTTTTAGTTTTGTCAATATTTTAGCAAATATTTGTTTCTGCTTTACTCTCCAGTAAATTTGAGGGGATGCTGAAATGTTCTGTCTGACTTAGAAAAAAAGAGAGAACCATTTGATGTTTGGTCATTTTTCTGATTTCAGGAAGTGAGTCAAGCTGAGAATTTTTCAGCACCCCCTGTATATAGCTTTAGTGATTGTTGATGAAAGAGTTTCCCAAAGTCTAACCGAAAAATACATTTGTACCACTGAACCTTTTTATCAGATGTGTTATGATATTCTCTTTAAGAGGTATTGTAGATTTTGCAAGCACTAAAATTATGAAGAGAAAAGATTTTTTTTTTTTTTTTTTTTTTTATATATATAAATCTTCACTTTCACTTACAGCACATAGAATCTTGAAATAATCTTTTTATCATAGCAGGATAGAATGTTTGCTTATAGATGAGATAAAATGGGATTAGTTTTTTTTATTTATTTGACAAGCTTGTAAGTTTTCCAAATTTTTATTACTGTTCTTTTTTTTCCATTCTCTTCTGCAAATTCTCTATTTAATATCTATTGCCAGACATTGACTATTTGACTATTTGGTTGTGCTGGTGTCGCCTAGCAAGTATTGATATTAATGATAATGACCTTTTTGTAAAATTCTTGTCTTACTGGGATTGAAGAAGGCTGGAAAGCACATTGGCTGAAATGTTGAGATAATAACAAAGCTGAGAACATCAATGTGAAGTGACGGCACATTCATTATAAGCTTCTCGTCAATAAGACGTCCTTAGCATGCATATAGTCTCACAACATTTGTAAATGTGGATTATAACTTATTTGACTACCTGTATATGTATGTAAGGCAGTGTTTCTCAACCTTTTTATGCATTGGCACACCTAAGAGCAAATGGAAATATCGCAGCACACTTTGCAAAAGTTTTAAATATTAGGAAATAAAACCATAGATTTAAAAAAAAATACACACAAATATGAACTTTATTTTGATGTTTCTTCTCAACTATTTGAAATGTGCGATGAGCAGACCCTCATTTCTTCTTCATTTGAGCATAGTCTTTCTCACTTCTTATTTTTGATATTATTTAGTGTTGAGAAGCCTAATTCACAAATAGGAAGTAGAAAATTGCAATTAAACCAATAAAGCCTTTTTAGTTAATGTGGGCTAAAAAGTTTAATACTTATTCATTAATTCAAATACTAACACTACTTTCACACACACATGCACACATATATATGTATGCTGTGACATTATTTTGTGATATGCTAAAGGGGATCACATCGCATGACATGGCAGTTGAGAATCACTGATATAGGGGTTTTTGATATTGCATGGGTGTGTGAGTTTGTGTTGATCAAAGGCATAGGCAATCTTTTTTGCAAAGTGGGTTGCGTTGACATGGCTCGTCATCAGGTGGACTGCATTACTGTATGAAGGTCATTTTTGTTGAAGGCATCTCAATTATTTTTACTAGAAACAATTGTGTTAGAAGTAAAGAAAAGTTGATTTTTTTTTCCTTTTCAGTAAAAAGATTTTTTTTCTATAAAAAAATTGAAGACTTGTTATAATATTCTAAATGATATCAATGTGATTAAAACCTGGTGTTGCAATGATACAGTATAGAATAATTAATAGAAAAAAAAGTGATTATGATCCATATGTTGAAGAAAACATTGAATATCTTCATAATCAACTTCAATATGTTCATAATAAATTAGAATAATTTCTTTAAATTACAGGTGTGTATTTAACAGCAATCTAATTTCGTTTGTCACTCTTATATTGAAAGGTAAAGTTAATATAATAACGCATAATAAAAATTAAGATTGGGCTCTAATTTATTCATTTAACTATGAGGAAAAAAATTACAAAATGTTTCCCCAAGGGAAAAAAAAAAATTATGAATGTTTCTTTCTAAAGCAAAAGATGTTCATTCTTAGTGTAAATCTGATGATATTTTAAAAATGCTGAAAACGTTATTTTCAGCAAAAAGATCCCAGAATTCAAGAAACATCGTATGTACTGTATGTGGTTTAGTTGAACTGTTTCAATCTATGGTATTGCGAGGAAATGGTTAAAAAAAATGTAAATGAACAATAAAAAATACAAGATATAAACACAAACGTGCATTCAAAATTAACTGCTATCTAATGATTAAAGGGAAGCAACTCAAAAAAAAAAAAAATTAAAAAAATCGTGACCTGACAAGCATAACAACCGAAATCCCATAAAAAAGATGAAGAAAATAGTTCGACTAAACCATATACAATAACTAAAATACTGCCTACAAAAATACAAACAAAAACATCGTATTTATCATCCATTTGTTATGAATATAAATAGAACTATTCTACTCAATTTTGAATGAGAAACTTGACATTGTTGTACATTTTTACAAGTTTCTTAATATCTACAGGAATTTGCAATATTGCAAATTGTCTTCTAGATGAATATCTGTCAATCTTGACTTAGTTTTCAACTTTATTATTTTAATTCTAGAGAAATGTTATTTGCATTTATATGTACTACCAAACATGGTGGCATGTCTTCTAGCAAGGCAAAATATTTTTTAGTGGTTTTCTTTAGGAAGAGTTCCATAAAACTGCATGCAAGATTCCTCTTTAATTATTGTCAAATAAATTCATCATTCTGAAGCTTAATTATTTCCATATTGGAATTCCATTTGAGAACAATATTGGCATTAAAAGGTTTTCCAAAAAAGTTGAAATCAACTTTTCTAGCTTTGAAGTCATTAAATCTGGTGTTCAGTTCTTTTTTCAGCATGGATGTGTGGGTGGTGTAATGGATAGAAGCTTGGTATGAGAAATTTGAGAGCCAAGTTCAAATTCTAATCAGATTCATTACATTCACTTATGGGCAACTACCCTTGGGAAAAGTATGAATCCATTTTCCCCACCAGCTATGGGTTAAATAGTAGGACTTGGATCTGGAAAAATTATTTTCAAAAAACTGTTAATGAAATATTTTAATATTTTTGCCAAAGAAAAAAAAAACAACAAATTCTTACAATCACAAATATGTTTCTACTTTGAATAACTTAAAAAGGTTGATAAGCCATAAAAACAATTTTTGTTTCAGCTCATTTAACTCCAGAATAGAATACATCTCATAAATTGGCTTATGGCTATGTCACATTGAAACCCTGGTTCCCATATGATCACTGAAGTTAAGCAAAATTGTCATTGTTTGCTAAATTCAAAGAAGTTAATTTGGATAGAAACCATTGCATGGTCTGGAAAGTCATTCATCACTTCTTCATGAATGTTATAATCTGTAAATATGTTTTCCATTGTCTGAACAGTAAGTAATTCTTCTGAGATATTTAAATATAATTTATTAATACCACATATAAAAATTGCCAATTGGGCCAAACCAGATTACATCAATACTTTTGTTATCAGCCAGTGAGAAAGAATCAAATTCTATTATTTTTTTCTTTTATCATCTTCTTTATATCTGATTCAATTTTTTCATCCCCTCTTGTTATTGTTCTGCAAGTCAAACTTATCTTATGTTTCTGGACACACAATTTCAACCATCACCAAAAGGCTGCAAATTGAATGTTTTGTCACGTTTTTGCTAACAACATAGCATGCATAAACAGGTTCTTTGAGTTCTGTCTGCCTTTTCGGAAAGAACATATTTAGATTGCTGATGTGTATCTAGATGGCTTCAATTTTTTACTTTCTAATATCTGCTTTAAATTTATCATATTCCAATATTGTTTTGAAATGCAATGCCATTTAACATTAGATTTAAAAAAAAATGGAGATGGATTCATAACATATTAAACATTAGTTTGTTTATTACAAATAAGTAATCACTAGTTCACCTGGAATTTTCTCATTTCTTTCTTTTTTTGAATGAAGCCATGAACTTTGACATCAAAAATAAAAACAAAAATTCAACACTTTACACACTTTCACTTTGAAAGAGAAATTCTGTCAATCCTGCCTGATAATACTACGTAATTAGCATGTGTGGCTGCAGCTTTTGAATTATTACAAGTTGTTACAAGCAGTGGAATCAGAAATTGAACATTAAATCAATCATTTCCTGTCATTGACATGGTGTCTTTAGTAGAAATGCCAATTTAAGCCTCTTGTTGAAGATTGAGACGTGTTTAAAATTTCACTGATGACTGACAATGGTGAATATTTTTATTACCCACAATACAACAGGCATTAGGGAGCTTAGTAGGGTATGTAATAGTTATTCTCCTTTGACACCAGCATTCTCAAACCTATTTGAGTGAGAGGGTGTGTGAGTGAATAAGTGAGAACAAAATAAATGTTGTTTTCCGTGTGAAATTAGGTGTGCCATTCAGAAAAACCTAAAAGCCACAGTTATGACTGACATCACCAAAAATTTCTTTCAGTTTTAAAATGGTAATTTATGAAATCTGGTTATGAAAAAAATGTAATAGATTAAATTACATTTAGCATCTTGAGTGTTTGTTATTCAGCAAATATAGAAATTGATTTTTTAAAAAATTTTTTAAAAATTTCAGCTATCAGTTGAGATTGTAGTGAATACCTAAAACTTTCTTACTGGAGATATAATAAACTTTATTTTTTTTTCCACTTATTGTTGAAATGCCAGATGCAAAAGTGATTTTTCTCAATTTTTTCCCCTTTAATTATATCCTTAAGGCTAGGAAATAAAACATGAATAATTCAAAAGTATTGTATACTTCTAGTCAATGCTTGAGAGAAACCATATTATAAAGATTATTTTGCTATAATTGTTGATACTGTTTTCAGAAATAATGATAGAATATTACATTTTACAAAAAAGTCAATTCTTAGAATATTGTTGAAAGGTTTTGGTTTGTAATCTTAATATTTGGGTTAGTATTAAATTTTATAAAATTGCAACTAATGTTTTTGTTATTTTGAATACAATTTTTATTGTTAGTATTAGAATTATTATGTAAAACTAAATAAAAGACATTAACTACT